ATCCTTTGTGGTGGATTTTGCTTTAAAGTCTATTTTGTCAGAGGTTAATATTGCCACTGCTGCTCTTTTTTGAGTGTAGTTTGCTTGATATATTTGTTCCCATTCTTTGAGTTTTAGTTTGTTTGTGTCTTTAGGTCTAAGGTGTGTTTCTTGTAGGCAGCATATAGACGGATCATGTTTTTTTATCCATTCTGCCACTCTGTGTCTCTTTATTGGTGCATTTAGTCCATTTACATTCAGAGTAATTATTGATAGGTATGAGTTTGGTGTTATCATTTTATGTCATTTTTTTGTGTGTTGTTGACAGTTTCTTTGTTCCACTTAATTTTCTGTGCTGAGTCATTTTTCCTGTTTTTTCTTGTTGATTTTGTATTTGGTGAGTCTTTTTTTTTCTTTCTAATTTTTTTTTTATTGTACTTTAGATGTAGGTTTACAGAACAAATAGTTTTTTATTAAACAGTTAGTACACATACTATTTTATGACATTGGTTAACAACCCCACGACATGTCAGCACTCTCCCTTCTTGACTTTGGGCTCCCTGTTATAAGCTTTCATGTCCCTTTCTGCCTTCTAGTCCTTGTCCCTGGAATGTTGTGCCCCATTAGTCTCATTTTGTTTTATGGGCCTGTCTAATCTTTGTCTGAAGGTGAACTTTGGGGGTGATTTCATTACTGAGCTAAAAGGATGTCTGGGGGTCATACTCTCGAGGTTACTCCAGTCTCTGTCAGGCTGGTAAGTCTGGTCTTTTTTTGTGAGTTAGAATTTTGTTCTACATTTTTCTCCAGCTCTGTCTGGGACCCTGTGTTGTGATCCCTGTGAGAGTAGTCAGTGGTGGTAGCCGGGTACTATCTAGTTGTACTGGACTCAATCTGGTGGAGGCCACGGTAGTTGTGGTCCATTAGTCCTTTGGACTAATTTTTCTCTTATATCTTGTTTTCTTCATTCTCCCTTGCTCCTGAAGGGGCGAGACCAGTGGTGTATCTTAGATGGCTGCTCACAGGCTTTTAAGACCCCAGATGCTACTCACCAAGGTAGAATGTAGAACATTTTGTTTATAAACTATGTTATGCCAGTTGAGCTAGGTGTTCCTCGAGATGTATTTGGTGAGTCTTTATGTTTTTCTTGTTTTTTATTTTCATGTGTAGGATTGTTAGTTTCCTTTGTGGTCACCTTAATATTTACCCCTATCTTCCTCAGTTTAAACCAGTCTTTTATTTCTTTATATCACCTTGACTTCCTCTCCATATGAAAGATCTATGACTACATTTTTTAATCCCTCTTTTTTGTTTTGTTTTTCTTTTTTCATTTTCAGTTGCATACTTTTTTTTTCAATTGTACTTTAGATGAAGGTTTACAGAACAGATAGCTTCTCATTAAACAGTTAGTAAACATATGTTTTATAACATTGATTAACAACCCCACAACTTGTCAACACTCTCCCTTCTCGACTTTGAGTTCCTTGTTACCTGCCTTATAGTCCTTGTCCCTGGGCTGTTGTGCCCCATTAGTCTCATTTTGTTTTATGAGGCTGTCTGATCTTTGGCTGAAGGGTGAACCTTGGGAGTGACTTCATTCCTGAGCTAAAAGGGTGTCCGGGGCTCATACTCTCGGGGTTTCTCCAGTCTCTGTCAGACCAGTAAGTCTGGTCTTTTTTTATGAGTTAGAATTTTGTTCTACACTTTTCTCCAGCTCTGTCTGGGACCCTCTGTCGTGATCCCTGTCAGAGCAGTCAGTGATGGTAGTCGGGCACCATCTAGTTGTACTGGACTCATCCTGGTGGAGGCCATGGTAGTTGTGGTTCATTAGTCCTTTGTTTTCTTCATTCTCCCTTGTTCCTGAAGGGGTCTTTTTGTTTTAATGTTGTCATCTTTTACATATTGATGTCTCTGTTTTCCTATTTTCAGTGTTTTAGCTTTGATTTATTTTTGTGACTTCCCTATGTGGGTTGATATCTGATTGCCCTGTCCTGTAGTCTAGTCTTGGTTTGTTATCTGATGTTATTGATTTCTAACCAGAGGACTCCCTTTAGTATTTCTTGTAATTTTGGTTTGGTTTTTACAAATTCCCTAAACTTCTGTTTGTCTAGAAATGCCCTAATTTCACCATCATATTTGAGAGACAGTTTTGCTGGATATATAATTCTTGGAAGGCAATTTTTTTCCTTCAAGGCTTTGTATATGTCATCCTATTGCCTTCTTGCCTGCATGGTTTCTGCTGAGTAGTCCAATCTTAGTCTTATTGACTTTCCTTTGTAGGTTTCTTTTCATTTATCCCTAGCCGCTCTTAAAATTCTCTCTTTATTTTTGATTGTGGCAAGTTTGCTTATTATATGTCTTGGTAACTTTCTTTTGGGATCTACCTTGTGTGGCGTTTGATGAGCTTCTTGGATAGATATCTTATCATTCACAATATCAGGGAAGTTTTCTGCCAACAAATCTTCAACAATTCTCTCTCTATTCTCTGATATCCCACCCACCCCCACCCCGTTCTGGTACTTCAGTCACTTGTAGGATATTCCTCTTGATAGAGTCCCACATCTTTCTTAGGATTTCTTCATTTTTTAAAATTCTTTTATATGATTTTTCCTCAAATAAGTTCGTGTCAAGTGCTTTATCTTCAGTCTCACTAATTCTGACTTCCATTGCCTCAATTCTGCTCCTATGACTTTCTATTGAGTTGTCTAATTCTGAAATTTTATTGTTGATCTTTTGGATTTCTGTTTGCTGTCTGTCTGTGGATTCTTGCAGCCTGTTAAGTTTGTCATTGTGCTCTTCTTAAGTTCCTCTGTTGCTCTGTCTGTGTGTTCCTTCGCTTGTTCTGCATTTTGCATGAACTCCTTCCTGATTTCTTGAAGAGTTCTGTATATTAATCTTTTGTATTCTACCTCCAGTAATTCCAAGAAGTTATCTGCCTCCATAAGGTTTTTTGATTCTTTGTTTTGGCGACTTACTGAATCCATCATGATCTGCCTCTTTATGTGGTTTAAGATTGACTATTGTCTCCAAGCCATCAATAAGTTATTATATTTATTTATTTTATGTTTACTTACTATGTCCTAGCTTCTTGTTTTGTTTTGATATGCCCAAATAGGCTGGTAGTGTGAGCTAGTTTGATTATTGGTGTCTTTGAAGCTCTCATGTCCTGTCTGCAGGTGGCTAGAGCTGTTACTAGATATGTGAGCCCAAGAGTCCATTTACTTTTGTGTGGATTCAGCCCAGGTGTCTAGGTCGGTCACTGAGTGTATATATAGTGTAGGGTCTGACATACAGTCCTAGACAGGCAGGGGTGATTGGAGTCCACTCAGGTATCTGGCTGCAGTAGGGGGTCATGCACTGATCGAGGCAGAGGGCTAACTTTTGCCCCTGAGTGTCTGGGTGAAAGGTGTGTCTCTGTTCCCTAGAGTGCATAGGTAGGTGGGGTTTGCAGCTGGACTATGAGCACCCAGTGCTGTTGGCTGTAAGGACTGGGAGTCACCACTGATTCTTGGACCCCTGTCGCGGGTGACTCAGTTGAGTGGGTGGAACCACCAGTTTTCAGACCTCTGATGTGGGTAGGTGAGGACTCTGCTTAATGGGCAGGGCAGTGTCAAATATCACGAATCTGCCACTCCCCATTATAGCAGATACAGATGAAAATAGGCTTCAGGTATATACCCTGGTATACTGTGGTATTGAGGGCCTATGCTGTTGAAATGGGCCCCCACAGGTCTATGCAGGGGTGAAAGGCATTCAAAGTCCATGGACCCCTCATGCTTGTGCTTAGGCAAAGGGGCTGTGCCTGCCCAGAGTTCCTGGCTTAGGAGAGCTAGCAGATTGTTTTTTTCCATATTTGTTAATTTGTTCCTTCTCCAAAACTGGGAGAATGGCTCAGGGCCTGCAAGGTTCCTACTTCTGGCCCAGTGAGCGCAGCAGTCTCTGATAAGGAACCAGACCCAGAGCAGAGCAGGGAGGTAGCAGGTAAATGGGAGGAAGGTATTAACCAAAAGGAGGGTTTTTTTTTTTAAATCCGCATAGTAGATTAGATGCTTGTACTTGTCTTTCGCTGATCAAGTGCCATTTCTTGCTGGTTCTGGAGGTTTGAGCCAATCTCTGCTGCTCTGTCTCTCCCGATGTGGAAAACACATCCCAAGCACCACTGCTTGCCTCGCGGCTCACGCCAGCTGATCCAGCCTGTAGGGGGCCAGTTCCTGCTGGGTCAGGTTTGGCAACTTCTCAGCTGCTTCTGAACCGTCTCTCCCTCCCCCTGCCACTCTTCTGACTCCTCAACTTTGTCGTTGATGTTCAGGGCTCCTAGGTTGTCATATATAACTGATTCACTTGTTTTTTTTGGGTCTTTGTTGTAAGAGGACCCACAGGAAGAGTCTGACTACTCCGCTATCTTGGCCCTGCCCCTTGAGCTCATTCTTTATTAGGGCTTGTTTTCCTTGCTTATATCCACTCACTTTTACTCATAGCATGGTGCATTTCTCTTCATCCGCCTAACCAGCACCACCCTGGTCTAAGCTATCCTTATCCCTTACCTGGACAACTGCATTTGCCTCCAAACCTGTCTCCCTTCATCCATCTTTATCACTTCTAGTCTGTCTTCACATGCACTCAGGATGATGTTTTAAAAACCTAAATCTGATTTTGTCACTCTTCTGTGTCTTCCCATTTCTGTTAGTTGACCCTCAAGACATACTATTGAATGAGTGAGTGAGTGACTGACAGAATATGTCAATGAATGAATTTTTTAAAATAATTAATCTGTTGTTGCTGATTCACCCCGACTGGTGAGTCCTTAAAAAAAAAAAAAGTACAGTACACTCAGATATAATGGGATGTTTCTGTCCCAAATTAATTTCTTATGTGTTCAATAAAGTCTCCTACTTTGTGGAGACCAATAATAGGTATTTAAAATTTCAATTAAATTACATAAAGTACCTTGTTCTGTGCTTGAAATGATATCCTGCAAGTATGGGGCTGTTTTCATCTTTCTGTTCATTTTTCTGTTCTTTTAGCTAATTGTGGAGATTTCTTCTGTGTCACCAGAGTCTTTAAACTACTGTACCACCAGTGGATTGGTAACCCAGCTCCTCAGAGAGCTGACTGGTGAGGATGTGCTGGTCAGGTATGTTGACTGAGAGTTCTTAAGGCAAAATGCCCTCTTTTGGAGGGCTAGAAAACAACCTGGGGACTTAGTGTGACCTTTCCTGTTAGAGTCTGTGCCCAGTTTGCAATAACATGACTGATGCATGTCCTGAAGAAGGAGCCTTTAAAATATTGCTCAAGTTATATCATGACAACATGCTGGAACTTAGAAATACCCTGCATGACAATACAGCTACTTTTGATTGACCGTGTTTCCTAACTGTAAGCATGTGTGTTCTTAAAGTTATAATCATGTGCTAACTGCCATTTTGTATTGCTTAATATTTTATCATATACATCTTTTGACTTTACTAAATAATAGCAGTATGGCATGATAGAAAAAACACGGGGTTTTGAAAATGAGAAAGACTGGGCTTGAATGTATCTCTTGGACAAATCATTGTAACCTTTCTGCACCTCAGTTTGCTTGTCTCTCAAATGGAACAATAACAACCCTGTAAAGAGAATATTATGAGGATTAAGAGAATTAGTCATAGAAACCAATACGATGGCTAACATAGGTACTCAAAGAAATGTTAATTTCAGTCTCATTGCTCACAGCCCCCTACTCCCTAAGTCCCTTTAATACCTGCCAAATGTTTCCTTGCTGATATTCCACAGTTTACTAATACATCTTCCTTGTTGGACACTTGGTTTACTTTAAGTATTTGGTTGTTAAAAATAATGCTATAGTTATTATCTTTGTGTGTACAGGGTTTTTTTTTTTTTTTCCCTTAAATGATTTTGTCGCTCTGAGTCGGAATCGACTCGACGGCCACGGGTTTGGTTTTTTGTTGGTTTTAAATGATTTTGTGATTGTCCTGTGTTTGTTAAATACGTTTGAAATTGTTTAACTCATTCGTAAATCAGTCATCAGTTACATTGTTTGAAAGCATTTGAATATCTTTACCTGATGATGAAATTAAGGAACACTGGTGGTGCAATGATCAAGTGCTTGGCTGCTAACTGAAAGGTTGGCGATTCGAACCTACCAGCCAGTCCTTGGGAGAAAAGACCTGACGGTCTACTCCTATAAAGATTACAGCCTAGGAAACCTTATGAGGTAGTTCTACTCTGTCCTGTAGAGTTGCTGTGAGTCGGAATTGACTCGACGGCACACAACAACAACAACAAAGAAATTAGTTTTGTTAATTAATTTTTGGCCTTGTGTCAGACATTATGGCATAAAAATACCCTGCAAATAATCAGAATATTTTAAGGTCAACTGTAAAAATATATTTTTTAGTCATTTGGAGAAATTTGATCGTGGTTGAGTATTAAATGATACCAAGGAATTAATGTTATTTTTTTATGTGTGGTAATGATATTATAATTATGTAATGAAAGAGTTATAGTTTTTAGAGATGCATATTAAATTATGTAAGGGTAAATGGCAAGATAACTAGTATTTGCTTTAAAATAATGTATCAAAAAAATAGAATAAAACAAGATGAAATAAGCAAGGCAAAATCTTGATTTTTGTCCAATCAGAGTTATGGGTACATAGGGTTTTATTGTACTGTTCTCTTAACTTTTGTGTATGTTTGACATTTCACAATAAAAGAAAAGTTTAAAAAACTTCTTAGGGAGTAGCTGTGTTGTAGTGGAAACAACAGTGGAACTCAAGTCAAGACCAAGATTTAAGCCTAAACTCTGCCGTGTAATAACTACACGATCCTGGACAAGTCACTGTAACTTTCTAGGCTTTATGTCCTTAACTTAAAAGTAGAACCAGGATTATTGACCTTTCAGTTGAGGGGCAGGATGTTAAACAGGATAACGTATATGAAAACAATTTGTAAACTATGCTATTCATATGCAAGATCTATTTGTGTTTGTTTTGCTGACATTGCAGAGCCACCTGTGTAGAAATGGTGACATCCCTGGCATATACTCATCATGGACGACAGTACCTTGCTCAAGAAGGAGTAATTGATCAGATTTCTAACATAATTGTTGGGGCAGATTCAGACCCTTTCTCTAGCTTCTATTTGCCAGGTAAGAAGCATTGATGCCTGTGGAAATGATCATGGCTGTTTCTGAGTTATCTCTGATAGGAGAGGCCAGGAATTGTTTTCCTTAGAGGTGGTTCCTTTTAGAAGAGATCCATAGCCCATTGATGAAATGGAATCTATTGCCCTAGGAGCCATGCACTATTGATTCTGACTTCCTAGAGAAATCAATGCTGTTTGGAGCATTATAATAGTTTTCTTTTGAAGCTCAGATAAAAGAAAAATAAAAATAGTAGTAATGGTATTTACAGTATTTTTCCAGAGTTATTAAATTTCTGAGTTGGAATCTTTTTCTAATAAAAGATCTACTCCAGCCATTCTGTTCTGGGGAATGGTTGACTAGCTTTTCTTGAGAACTTCCAGAAAGTGGAGATTTAGTCTTTCCTTACATAGCCTAGTTTATTTCATTGTTGAGTATCTCTGTTTAAAAATTTCTTCTAAATAATGACTCCAAACTTCCCTCCCTAGAATTTCTGTCCACTGCCCTTGTTCTTTGTTCTCCTTGAATATGACAATACTTCAGTATTTGGACACTGCTCATTGGCACCTTGGGGTTTATACTGTCTCAGAACCACACATCATTGTCCTTTTGTATCTCCTTATGGTTCTCAGGCAACACACTAGCCTAACCTTTCTCCTCTTTCTGACCTGCAGTTTAGTACTGTCCTATGAAAGCATAGGGCCTAGAATTTGTGCTATATTGCTCCTCTATTAAAATAGATTTTTGTAACTGTAGGATTTGTGAAATTTTTTGGAAACCTGGCTTCCATGGATAGCCCTCAACAGATCTGTGAACGTTATCCTGTCTTTGTGGAGAAGGTCTTTGAAATGACAGAAAGTCAGGACCCCACCATGATTGGTGTAGCAGTGGACACAATTGGAATTCTGGGATCCAGTGTTGAAGGGAAACAGGTTTTGCAGAAAACAGGTTGGTATGACTTGTCTTGGCCTTCTTTAAGGATATCTTAATTTTTGACAGAGATTCAGTGTATAAACTCATTTGCTAATAGGTTAACTACATTTTAGAATGTAACTGCTTTTATAGGTGGCAGTCTTTTTAACTGTGCCTTGGATAAACTCATCCCTAAAAAAAAAATCTCATAATTACTATTGAAAACTTTTTTTTTTTTTTTGCTTCTCACTGTTTAGGGGTTCAGCCAACCAAGTTGGTGGGACCAAATACATTTTATCCTCCTCATCTTCCTTGAATAGTATTCGTAGTGTAAAGGCCATGGGCTCTCAAGTCAGAAAGGCCTGGATTCATGTCCCAGTTCTAATGCTGACTTAGCTTTATGGCCCTTATTTAGTCACTTCATTTCTCTAAGTCTCATTTGTTTTTTAAAAGGGTATAACAACTAAATCTCAAGGTTTTTGTGAATTTTTACATAAAAATACATTTGTTTGTAATGTCAAGGAAGGAAAGGAAACAGAAAAGTTCATCACTGTATTTTATATTAAGAATGATGCTTTTAATGGTACTCCTACTAGTATCTCAAAAGCACTACAAATTCTACACAAAAAATAAATATACAGCAATATTATTAGAACCCTTGTGAAGTATATGTTAAAAGTCAATATGCTGTTGTGTATAACAACTAATATCGTTATATGTACTTTTCTGAGTGCTTTTATCTATTACATGATTCTTTTACAGTTCTGCAAAGAGCATATTATTGTCATTCTCATTTTGCAGTTAAGGAAAATCTAAAGTTATTCGAATAGTTATTGTGTGCCTTTAAGTCGATTCCCACTCATAGAGACCGTATAGGACAGAGTAGAACTGCCCCATAGGGTTTTCTAGGCTGTAATCTTTATGGGAGCAGATCGCTAAGTCTTTTCTCTTAAGGAGCCGCTAGTGGATTCTAACTGTTGACCAGTTAGCAGCTGCGCATTTAACCATTGTGCCACCAGGGTAGCTCAATCCCAGGTCTTTTGATTCCATATCCTATACAGTTTGCCTTATGTATGCTGTATTGTGTATGCATGTGTGGTTTTAGGCCTCTCACTTGGTCTCTGACTGCATGTTTATTTTTGTGTTGGTTTAGGCGGTTAGGAGTCATAATGTATGAAAGCAGTTTTTAAAATCTCATTGTTATTCATTCAAAGGAACTCGCTTTGAGCGCTTACTCATGAGAATAGGACATCAAGCAAAGAATGCCTCAACAGAGCTAAAAATTAGGTGTTTGGATGCAATTTCATCTCTTCTGTATTTACCAGTAAGTAGATTGGCAAATTAATGAAGGGCACTGGGAGATGTTTGGGTGAATAAATAGCATTATGATTCAGCATAGTACTATTGAACTTAATATAAATGCTGATAAAGTAAATGCCATCTTTCTTACTGTTAGTAAGAAAAGATAACCCTCATTATATGACTAGTGACATTTTTAAGAGAAAGTAGAATTACAGAAAATTAGACCCAGAGAAGACCTTAGAGATTGCTTAATCAGCCACCTCAGAAAAACTGGGATGTTCCTGTTCCCCTACAACAGCACCTAAAAAAGAAGCAGAAACTGGCAGAAACAAGTTTGTCAGAACTCTAAAATCCAGAGAGTTACAGCAACTAAGCGAATGATCAATCTAGGAAAAGGTGACATATAAACAGTAGGAAAACTTGGTTTTCTACCTGCCTGTGCCTTACTCTCTCCCCGGATCTGCATGGCCATCTTAAAGTGGCAGTGGCCCCCATTCCCAGAGAGAGAGCCTGGTCCCTGGTTCTAGATGGAGCAGAGCAGACTTTATTAGCAAATTATTGTGTAAGTCTATTCTAACTTGTCTGGGAATTTCCTAAAGGACTAAAGCAAGATGTTCTCAGTTTGGCCTGTCTCGGAGCTCATGCAGGACAGAGGGGCAGCTAATAACACCAGAAGGCTGTAACTGCTTGGGGCTAAAGAATACCATTAAAGCGTAGAATAGGTACATAAAGACTTGAAGGAAAAGTCAGAGAGTTTCTTTCAGAAATTACATCTTTTAAAAGTACTTGTATATGGAGGCTATATCCAGCAAAGCTTTTCCTTCAAAAATGAGGGCAAAATTAAGACATTCCTAGATAACAAAAGGAGCCCTGGTGGCACAGTGGTTAAGAGATCAGGCTGCTAACCAAAAGATCCACAGTTTGAATCCATCAGCTGCTCCTCGGAAACCCTATGGGGCAGTTCTACTCTGTCCTGTAGGATTGCTATGAGTCGGACTTGACTCGATGGCAACGGGTTCAGTTTTTTGGTTTTAGATAACAAAAGCTGAGGGAATTTGTTACCAGGAGACCTGCGCTACAAGAAATGCTAAAGAGATTCTTTCAATTTGAAATGAAGGAGCATTAGACAGTAACATGAAGCCATATGAAGAAAAACAAATTGCCAGCAAAGGTAATTTTATGGGTAAAAGCCATTTTTATAGTATTTTTCATTTCTAACTTTGCTTGTTATGTCGTACATGATTTAAAAGACAAATACATTAAAAATAAGAATTTATGATATTGGGCATACAATGTATAAAGATGTAATTTGCAGCACCAGCCAGGGTAGGAGTGGTGTAGAAACAGTTTTTGTATGTCATTTGAAGTTAGTATCAATTTTAACTAGCTTGTTATAAATTTAGGATGTTAAATGTAATCCCCATGGTAACCACAAAGAAAATACCTAAAAAACCATTCACAAAAGGAAAAAGAAGGGAATCAAAATGGTTCACTACAAAAAAATCAACTAAACACAAAAGCAGGCAGTATTGGAGAAAATCAGGGACAAAAAAGGTATAAGACAGAGAACAAATAGCAAAATGGCAGAAGTAAGTCCTTCCTTATCAGTAATGACCTTAAATGGATTAAACTCTTTAATCAAGAGGCAGAGATTAGCAGAATCAATAAGAAAACATGTCCCAACTATATGGTGGCTACAAGAGACCCACTTTAGATCCAAGACACAAATAGGTTGAAAGCGGAAGAATGGAAAAAAATATTCCATGCAGATAGTAACCAAGAGAGATGGGGTGATTGTATTTTTATCAGACAAAATAGACTTCAAATCAAAATCTGTTACAAGAGACAAAGGAGGACTTTATAAAACAATAAAAGGGTTGATTCATCAAGAAGATATAACAGTTATAAATACATATGCACCACAACAAAACCCAAAGATCTGTGAAGCAAACACTAAGAAAGCTGAAGGGAGAAATACACAGTTCTACAATAATAGTTGAAGATGTCAGCATACCACTTTCAGTAATGGATAGAACATCGAAACAGAAGATCAATAAGAAATAGAAGACTTGAACAACACTATAAACTAACTAGACCTAACAGACCTATTTGGAACACTCCACCCAACCACAGAATACGTATTTTTCTCCAGTGTGCGAGGATTGCTCTCCAAGACAGACCATATGTTAGGTCAGAAAACAAGTCTCAATAAATTTAAAGAGACTGACATCATACATCCCTGAATGTACACTTAAAAATGGTTAAAGTGGCAATTTTTTGTTATAAAAATTTTATGACAATAAAAGTATTTTAAAAAAGAAAAAAAAACTGAGGCATGTCTGAGCTGGGTTTGGGGAAGAGTGCTACAGACTTAGCCAGGATCACAGGGCAACTTGATGACCAAGAGTGCCATCAACACTCAGGTTTCCTGACTTCCAGACCAATACTTTTCTCAATACAAGTTAGCCTTGTCATGAGACAGTCCTTTTCTGTCCTGTAGCCTGAGCAACAGACTGATGACCTCCTGAGGATGGCAGAATCCTGGTTTTCCTCTTTATCTCGGAACCCATTGGAGCTTTTCCGTGGCATCAGTAATCAACCTTTCCCTGAACTACACTGTGCAGCCTTAAAAGTGTTCACGGTAGGTTCCACATGGTCCTCCTAGAACTCTGTCAGTTCAGCACATGAAGAGTCACTGTGCATGTCCTGGGAATACACAAGTGCTTAGTACAGTTTTTGTCCTGTTACATTATAGGCTAATGAGGAAGACAAATGCATAAACAGATTGTTTCAGTAAAAGGTGTTTCGTGCTGTGGCAGAGACTTGAACGGGGCGCTATGGGATCACAAAATAAGTTCCAGACCCCTTATCTGCCATACAAGCAGCTCTCTATTGATGCAGTCCTGGTCATCTTCCTGAGCCTTATTGTCTGCCATTCCCCTTCTGGCGCTTAATGTTTTGGTAATACCAAACTGCTTGTTTTGTATCTCTGGACTTTTGCTGTGCTCTCTGCAGCCAACATTCTTCTCTAACTTTGCTTGTTAGCCTCTTACTCATTCTGCAAGGATTAGCTCAGGTATGTCTTCAGCATGTCTTGGCCAAACCCACAAAGTGGGATTAAGGAATCTCTGCTCTCATACTTCGCATATTTGTTGAACAAATAGAAGAGTGAACAAGATTATACAAAGACCCTACTGCCATGTAACTCACTGTCCAGTGAGGGAGCCAGGCAGTAAATACAGTTATACAGTTGTATAATTACAATTGTGGTAAGGGTTATACCTCTGTTTTCTGTTTATTACATGAGGTGAAATTTTTTATTTATTGGCCTGTCTCACTTCTTAAAGTTTCTTGAGAGAGGGACCATATCTAACTTATTTATCTCTGTAGCCCAAATACTTAACCGTGGTGCCTGGGCTTATAGGTATTAAGTAATCTTATCAATAATGGGATCTGAAGCAGTATACTTAGACTGGACTAGGTAAGGAAAAGCAGAGTGGAGGAGATGAGAGGAAAGGCCTCCTGAAGGATGTGATACATGATCTGGGTCTTGAAGAATACAGATATTCCTACCAACTTCAAGAGCATTTGTTTTTAGACTGCTTCACCCTTGGAGATGGACCTTGTTATGGTCATTTTGGCTCCTGCATCAGTATTCTCAGTTTTTATTTTTATTTTTTCCACTCTTCTACTTTACACTACACTTAGTCAATCATAGGTATAGAAATAATTTTTGTTTTACTGGTTGGAGCAACTATTTTTATTTCAGCCCACCGTTTATCCTTGGCCATTGTTAACTAGGCCATTGTTTCTCAAACTTTAATCTTGAGGATCTTTTTAAAATGTATATTCTGATTCAGTAGTTTTGGGCTGAAGCCTGAGATTCTGCATTTCTAACAAGTTCCCAGGTGATGCTAATGCTGATGTGCTGGTCTGTGGAACATATTGTGAGAGGATGAGACTAGGCTATAAACTTGATTGTTACTCGTTCTTCATTAAAATGTAGTGGTGAGGTTTTTATATTATAAAAGTTACTTATTCACTATTTTAAAATCTGTAGAAGACTGAGAAGTAGAAATTTTTAAATCACCCAAAGTCATACCTGTTTGGTGTGTTTTCTTTTAGTATTTGTATTGATTGATTGATTGAAATATTTCAAACATACAATCATTGTTCTTTACCTCTATCCAATCCTATTCCGCTTCTTCTCTACCTGGATGTAATCACTATCATAAATTCCAGATATAAAGACTCATACATGATTTTATACTTCTACTACATGTGTATGTATCCTTAAACAAAATGTAACATTTTACACTTTCTTAAACTTTGTAAGTGGTATCATGCTGTTCATATCATTCTGCAATTTACTTTTTTTTCCAACATGTTTTTAAGATTTATCCATGTTGAAAGAAATAATTAGAAAGTCATTAGTATTTTGTTATACAGACACCACAGTTTATCATTCTCTTGTCAGTGAAGATTTAGATCTTATCTATTAAAAATGATTCTACAATGAGCATTCTTAAAAATACCGTCTTGTGCACATATGTTGAAGTTTCTTTAGGGTAGTCTTTAATTTTTGTTTTTCCACTGTTGTAATCACATATGTATATAATTTGGATCTGCTTTTTTATATAACACGTTTACCCATTTCATTACATACTCTCTGTAAACTTTTTTTTTCTCCCCCCACCATTAACCTCCCTTTTCCTCTCTCCAGCTCCTGGTAACCACTAATAAGCTTTGGTCCCTATACATTTGTCATTTCTTGTCTTTTTATATAAGTGAGGTCATACAATATTTGTCCTTTTGTGATTGATTTCTTTCACTCAGCATAATGTCTTCAAGCTCCATCCGTACTGTAGCATGTATCAAGACTTCATTTCTCCTACTGGCTGAGTAGTATTCCATTGTATGTACGTACGGCATTTTGTTAATCCATTCATCTGTTGATGAGCATTTAGGTTGTTTCCACCTTTTGGCTATTATGAACAGTGCTGCAATGAACATTGGTGTACAAGTCTCTGAATCTCTGCTTTCAAGTCTATTGAGTATACCTGTATATATCTGTATAATCTGTAAACATAATTTTTAATGTTTATTTAGTTGTTTATTGCTGTATACCATAATTTACTTAACCATTTCTCCATTATTAGATATTTACATTATAATTTTCAGACTATGATGAATATCTGTATCTTTGTAAAGCTTTTTAATAGTTAGGATTATTTTCTTTAATTAGATTCCCAGGAGGGAATTTACTTAGGCAGAAGGTAAAAAATGTTAAGGTTCATGTTGCCAAATTTCTTTCTAAAGTATTGTACCATCTCACTAACAAATTTAATTAACTTTTTAAGGCTCAAAGGAATTGTTTTCTTTCTGCCTTCGATTTCAGGCCATTGCAAACCAACCTTGGGCTCAGAAACTTATGTTTCACAGTCCAGGTTTTGTAGAATATGTGGTGGACCGGTCCGTGGAGCATGACAAAGCTTCAAAGGATGCCAAGTATGAACTGGTAAAAGCACTTGCCAATTCCAAGACAATTGCAGAAATCTTTGGGAACCCGAATTATTTGAGGCTCAGGACTTATCTGAGTGAAGGTCCGTACTATGTAAAACCTATTTCCACGACAGCAGTAGAAGGAGGTGAATGATTTCTTCTATAGTTTAAAAGTATAGAGGAGCATTTTGGGACCAGAACTTCTCCAACGGCACTTTACTCCATCTATATTTTACAAAACAGAGACTTCCCTCCCCCTAGAATTATCATGGAGTATCTAATGTAGCTTCATCACCAGTATTTTTTGTGTTTTTACATTGAAATACAGCGTGGAACCAGGTGTTTGTAGTACATTAATAGTGGGCAAATTTGGTCTTAGGTAAACTAGGTATTTTTCAGATTTTTTTGACTGCCCTAATCTTTGCAACAACCTGAAGTTCTGGTTCTCCTCCCAGAAAACTTCATGGACATACCCACTGTCTTATTAAAATAATCTGCTTTAAGTAAAATGGAACCAAATTGTTTCTGAATTTGCTTCCCCTTTTTCTTTTTGTAGTCTTTTTTCCTCCTCTGATTCTACTTTCAAAGTCTTGGATATAAATATTCTTTGAAAAAAATAGTATGGAATCTTAAAATTATGTTCTCTATACTAAGAATAAATAATTTTAGTTAAGTCTCCTTTGGTTTTTTTGTCACTGTTATTCCTTTGAAAAATAGACGTAAAATAAACCTAAAAATATTTTTTTAGTGTTCTTTTGATGCTTTTTTTTTTAAATCAGTGAATTTTAATTCTTTTGTGGTTTTGGGGGAGAGGGCATGATAATTGCTAACCAAAAAGGCCCCCAAAATGTCCTTTACTTACGGGTTATCGTTGTTGAGGGTTTTGCCTCTAATTTTTCTGATCCGTAGAGTCAATCTTGAGTGGGTCATACAAAGAGAGACTGAATACTAATAATCAGAGTTAGAAGGGAAGGGACAGTATGTATAAACCAGGATGCCACTCATTAATTTACAAAAGATGATCTTCCTATTTATTGATGAAAAATGTTTCCATCCATTTTCCAGTGCCCTTCTTTAAATGGCAAAGCATTCTGCTCTGCTTGTAGGTTATCAGTCCAGAGGCTTCTGCATGAACCTATTTGTGTGACAGGTTCAGAATCTAGAGAGATTTCTTTTAGGCCATGGTGAAGTTGTTAAGCCATTCCTGCTCTTAACAAAATGGTTCTCAGGTATCTGGAATTCTCTTGTCCCCAGATTCATTGTCTCTCTTCTGCCGTCTCTTAGTATCTTTGAGTCTCCTGTTTCCATACTGACCATTTCCCTACCATTAATACCATTAATTAGGCTACAGCTAGGTTTTTTTCCCGACCTGAGAAACATTCTGTCTTTTTAAAGTGGTTTTTGCTTTATCTCATTTGCAGTGTTAATTTTATTCATTTAACTTCAGAGTTCATAGGGGTGACCCCTTTCCTATGTATGGCTGTATGACCAATACACTCTTATTTTGTGTCTGTGGCTTCCTTTTTTTGCCTTAGTTACATTTACTTAATAAATAAACATTTATTGACTGCCGATTACATGCTTGACAATGAGAAAAGGAACTTTACTGTATTAGACATTGCCCCAAGTGCTAAGTTCATGTCATTTAATCCTTACATCTCCATTTCACAGATGAGGAAACTGAGGCTCAGAGAAGTTAATTGGCTTATCCCAAAGTCACACAGGTAGCAAGTAGCTAATAGTAGGGAAAATTGTTGTTGTTAGGTGCCATCGAATCAGTTTGGACTCATAGCGATCCTGTGCACAACAGAATGAAACACTGTCCAGCCCTGCACCATCCTCACAATTGTTGCTATGTTTGAGCCCATTGTTGTAGCCACTATGTCATTCCATCTCGTTGACGGTCTTCCTCTTTTTTGCTGACCCTCTGTCTTCGTTACCAAGCATGATGTCCTTCTCCAGAGACTGGTCCCTCCTGATAATGTGTCCAAATTACCCGAGATGAAGTCTCACCATCCTTGCTTCTAAGGAGTATTCTGGCTGTACTTCTTCTAAGACAGATTTGTTTGTTCTTCTGGTAGTCCATGGTATATTCAGTATTCTTCACCAACACCGTAATTCAAAGGTATCAATTCTTCAGTCTTCCTTATTCACTGTCCAGCTTTCACATGCATATGAGGCAATTGAAAATACCATGGCATGGGTCAAGCACACCTTAGTCCTCAAAGTGACATCTTTGCTTTTTAATACTTTAAAGAGGTCTTTTGCAGCAGATTTGCCCAATGTAATACACCATTTGATTTCCTGACTGCCACTGCCATGGGTGTTGATTATGGATCCAAGTAAAATGAGATCTTGACAACTTCAACCTTTTCTCCATTTATCATGTTGCTTATTGGTCCAGTTGTGAGGATTTTTGTTTTCTTTATGTTGAGATGTAATCCATACTGAAGGCTGTAGTCTTTGATCTTCATCAGTAAGTGCATCAAGTCCTCTTCACTTTCAGCAAGCAAGGTTGTGTTATCTGCATATCGCAGGTTGTTAACAACTCTTCCTCCAATCCTTATGTCATGTTCTTCTTCATATAGTCCAGCTTCTCGGATTATTTGCTCAGCATACAGATTGAATAAGTATAGTGAAAGGCTACAACCCTGAAACACCTTTCCGTGACTTTAAACCACACAGTATCCCCTTGTTCTATTCGAATGACTGCCTCTTGGTCTATGTACAGGTTCCACGTGAGCACAATTAAGTGTTCTGGAATTCCTATTCTTTGCAGTATTATCCATAACTTGTTATGATCCACACAGTAAATTCCTTTGCATAGTCAAAACACAGGTAAACACCTTTCTGGTAGTTTCTGCTTTCAGCCAAGATCCATCTGACATCAGCAATGATATCCCTTGTTCCACGTCCTCTTCTGAATCCAGTTTGAACTTCTGGCAGTTCCTGTCGATGTACTGCTGCAACCACTTTTGAATGATCTTCAGCAAAATTTTACTTTCGTGTGATATTAATGATACTGTTTGATAATCTCTGCATTCTGTTGGAATGGGCGCAAATATGGATCTCTTCCAGTCTTTTGGCCAGGAAACTGTCTTCCAAATTTCTTGACATAGACCAATGAGTCAGCACCTCCAGCACTACATCTGTTTGTTGAAACATCTCAGTCGGTATTCCATCAATTCCTGGATCCTTGTTTTTCGCTATTCCCTTCAGTGCAGCTTGGACTTCTTCCCTCAGTACCATTGTTCTTGATCACGTGTTACCTCTTGAAATGACTGAATGTCGACCAATTCTTTTTGGTGTGGTGACTATGTATTTCTTCCATCTTCTTTTGATGCTTTCTGTGTCATTCGATATTTTCCCCATAGAATCCTTCACTGTTGCAACTTGAGGCTTCAGTTTTTTCTTCAGTTCTTTCAGCTTGAGAAATGCTGAGCGCGTTCTTCCCTTTTGGCTTTCTAACTCCAGGTCTTTTAGTGATAGGAGAAAACACCTACCCAAGACTTAAGGGTAGGTTAGGGAAGGTTTTCCAGAGAAGGAAATACCTGATGTGAATCTTGACGAATGAGTAGGAGATAGGTCAAGAATAGAGAATAGCCTAGTAAGCAGATCCCTGGGTGGCACAGTTTGCTAACTGAAAGGTTGACAGTTAAATCCACCAAGTGGTGCCATGGAAGAAAGGCCTGGAGATCTTCTTCCATAGGTTACAGCCACTGAAAGCCCTATGGAGCACAGTTCTACTCTGAAACACATGGGGTTACCATGAGTTGGAATCAACTCAATGGCAATGGGTTTTGGTTTCACATAGTAAGCAGAGGAAACAGCAGGTACAGACATGAAAACATGTTTAGGGTACTACAAGTGATTCATTATGGCCCAAGTCTAATATTTGAAGGGAGAAATTGCAAATTACTTAATATTACTAATCATAGCTACCATTTCTTAGCACTTACTTTATGCTAGGCAATTGGCATACGTTTTCTCATTTTATTCTCATAACAGTTGTACAAGTAAAGTATCATTTTGTAAATGAAGATACCAAGACTGAGAAGTAACTTCTCTACAGGTCACACAGCCCAGGACCAGAATATTAACCTGGCTTTTTGAGAGGGTGTAAAATGTGTTCCCGTTTTGTTACTTGGACATATTTTTGTAGATAATAATGGCCAACACTTACTGAGCATTTACTGTGTGCCAGGCATTGTTGTAAGAGCTTTTTATGTATTGACTCATGTTGTTGTCCTCACATTCCCAGGAGTTAGGTACTGTTCGTACCTTGTTTACAGATGAGACCAAGGCATGGCAAAGTTAAGGAACTTGCCCAATGTCACACAGCTAATAAGTGGAGCCAAGATTTGAACCTTGGCTGTTTAACTCAGAACATATGTTTTTAAATTCTGCCTCTTCCTCTTAATTGAATACTTACTATGGGCCAAATCCAGTGCTAAGCACTTGATATATATCCTTTAGTTCATCAACCCTACAGGGTTGATTTTGTTCATAAACAGGCTCAGTAAGGTTTAGTAGCATATCCAAAAATTTGCTAGTAAGTGTCTTGTTTTGGAAGGTGCGTTGTTTGGGGCGACACCTAAAATGCCAGGAACCACAAAACGGCAACCACTGATCTTGTGCCCAATTGTACAAGAGAAATAACAGTATGTACATCATATGGAATGTGAACTTGCTGTGCCCCATCTGTGAAGCAGTGCCTAATTATAGGACTTGATGAAAGTTGTTAATACAAAAAGTTAGAGATCCAAGCCACTACACTAGTGAGGTTTAAGTTAGTATGTACTAGGTGGCTAATACTTTGAAATGAAGTTCAGTTCCATCACTCAGATTACTAAAATATTTCCTGCTTACAAGCAAAATTAACATTCTGTTATAAAAATGTCATATTTAGTGTTTTTCTTTCATTCTGAGGATTCTCAAAAATCAGTTACCGTGGCTATCACTGAGACATAACAGTTCCATGAAATACGATAAAGAATATTCACTATTTAATTGTAAAGAGAAACAAGACTTTTGGTTAAAATTAAATTTAATGCTTTCCCTTTTCTGAAAGGTTTTATTTTGAAAAGAATTGTGCTACACGAATACAAATTCCTTAAAATTGAGATATCAATAAGATCTAGTACATCAGAGCACTAAGAACATTTTACAACTTTTTAACTACAATTAAAGATTCAGAGAAGCTATAAAACCCGAGGAAGGAGGATGCTTTCTGTAGCAGGGTAGAAGGTAATTTAAAATGAATAGACATGTAAGAAAAACAGAAATCCTACTCACCAAAATACATGGCATTATTTTTTATGGTGCCCATATGGAATGTTTAAAACTGTCAAGATATGTCAGAAGTTTGCAGGATATAAGGCCGTAGTAAGTCTCAAACAGTGTACGTTCTTTTCCATCATTAATTTCTTTCCATGCCAGGGACATTTCAGCATCTGTAGTTTCTGAGGATGTGAAAATGAATTTATAGCAACATCTGTTGTAGCTGATGTGCTTTTTCCCAGAAAACCTTGAACTGTGGATGGGTATAAGGCCAATGAACTTAGCACAAATTCCTACAAACACATCCGCGGGTACCATAATGGGTACTTCTTTGAAAACTACATACATCATCCAAGTCACATCCTGGGACATTATAAAGGCCTCACCACTGCAGTAATTTGGGTAGTACTTTCCTGGGTACTCATTAAGAGGAACAAATTCTTGGTTACGAGGGTCTCTATTCGGTGTATCCTGATGGATAACTCTTCCTACATAGATCTCCTCGAGGCGTTCTTTCAGATTGAGAAGATAGTCCACCAAGGTTGGTAGATCGACAAATATCTCTTCTTCAACCTTGAGAATGAACAGGGCATTAGGACAGAAGGTTACAGCCCACTGTGTCATGGCAATGATCTTCAGGGTTTGGTTCTCAGAAGTGTCCAAGAAGATTCCTTCAATTATATCATTATTATTATGGGACTCTTTATCTATCTCTTGTTGAGTAGTTACCAAAAGAGGCATTCCCAAAGCAAATAGTGTGAGAATGGAGTGCCCTTGGACACTGGTCATGTTACCCCAGGTTTTCCTGATGAGGTCCCGCCTTGTCCCATTTCCTGGGCTACTGAAGATGAGAGAGAGCAAGAAAATGTTCTTCCCTTTACACACCTCCGACTGGCTCAGGATATAATATTTGGAGAGATTGCTTCTTAGGGGTTTCACGTTCAATTTTCTTGCTTCATCCTTAATTTCAAGAACTTTCATATCTACGTACGGCAACGAATGCAAAAAGTATTCTTCCACAAAGTCAGCCCCAAAAAATAAGGCATGAAGTAGGATGACATTAAACAGAATGAAACACCACTGGTGAGTTCGAAGCCTGCAGAATGTCACCTAAATGAAGAAAGAACATGTTCGTTCAAACATTTCCATTCCTGTCTTTGCCCCCTGTGAACTCTATATGTACCACTATTACAGCACTTAGCAGTATATTTTAAGTGTTTATTATTATTTATTATTATTATTGTCTCTTCCACTAGATCCTGGTCTCTTGGACAACAGGCATCATGTCTGACTCTTTTCCATGTTGAGTTCGGTAACTGGCACAAATTGGACACTGAGAAAATGTTGGTTGATTGCTTGCTTGTTTGCATGAAAACCTATTTATATGTACAAGGCACTGTATTAGAAACTGGAGAAACAGAGGAATCAGACACAGACACATGGATGTAAAATAATAAGCGGCATTATGATAAAAGGCTATAGGAAAATATTCAATGTTCTTTCTGGAATTGAAGCATTTGGAGTGATTTATTCTCCAGTTACAAACGTCAAGGGCTATTTTTCCATGCAGTGGTGGCTTTTATTGGCTACTGCACACCAGCTACTATCAATCATTTATATTCTTCCAGTATGACTTTCCAATTTAATACAAAACCACAATCTGTTTTGACAATGTTCCCTAATCCACTTGACATATCTGTCCATATAGTTAGATTCCTGCTATTTGTATAGCACCAGAGGTCTAACACCAATCTATCAAGCTTACTCTACCTCATCAAAGGAGCTAGAAACTTTCCCTCTGGAAGGGCATACGCAGGGTTGTAAAATAAAAGAATGAAGGAACATTAAAGGGATTAAATCCATATTTATTGGAGCTTTGAACAACAAAGCCTTTTATAATAACTTCTGTTGCCATTGAGTCAATTCTGACTCATGGTGACCCCATATGTTTCAGAGTAGAACTGCGCTCCATATGATTTTCAATGACTTATTTTATGGAACGAGATCACCAGAACTTTCTTGCACAGCGTCACTGGGTGGATTTGAATCGCCAACCTTCCAGATAGTAACCAAGTACAAACCGTTTGTGCCACCCAGAGGTACCTTTTCATAATAGTTCTCTCTTATTGAGCACTTGCTATGTGTCAGGAATTTATGCTAAGCACTTTACCTGCCTTAACTCACTTAGCCCTGGTAATATCCTTTTGAGATGAGTTGTCTTCAAAATTAAGCTTATCAACTTAGTGGTTAGTGGCTTAATAATTTGCCCAAGATCACACAGTGAGTAAAGGAGTAGGGCTATGATTTGAAATCAAGTCTCAGATTCCAAAGCTCACTCTTAACCACGGGAGAATCTTCACTCCCATCTTTACTTTTCTTTGTCCATTTAACAGAAAAACAACAACAAAACAAACTCCTGCATTTGTGGTCTGAACTTTCCATTTTCTCAGTGCTGATGATTTGCACACAGAAGAAAATTCAGCCTCCTCAAAGCCTATTTTAATAGATACCAAATGCTTCAAATATTATAAGAAACTTACCTGCATGTTGACTGTGAGCAGTTTCAGGGCTTTGGAAATTAAGTCCAGATGGAAAATTATGCCCAGATGTATCTCAGGATCACTCCAGTCTAACAGCAATTGAAGTAAAAAACTTTGTGCCTGAAACTTTAAGGATAAGGTTTCTTGCCAATCAACCTGAGCTTTTGTCCCAGAATACCTGAAGGCTGCGTATGAGAGCAAGTGTTGATCGTATTACAGCTAGAGTTAATCCAGAACAATGAATAGAATAAGCAAACCTCTTCACATGCTTCCAACCTTATGTACCTCGTGAAATTGACCCCTTGTTTTATGTTGAGATCCTAGGGAAGCATGTGTGGGAGCTCAAAAAACAGTTCATCGACATCACCTCTCCACAGCATCATCACACAAGGAGAAATGCCATATAGTGTGCTTTGGACTATGTAAAAATGGCATGGGGTGGGGGTGGGGGGGTGTCTGACCTCCTCTAACTTGACGGTGGGGAGGGAGGGAGAATCAAGATCAACAGCCCAAGGCTGATTCCTATGAGGTGGAGGTCAGACCTGCCTCCACCCTCCAACCTTTGTACCAACTCTGACACCATCCATTCTTCCCATGACACTGTCTACTTTTCTGCTGGGTTCTGTAATTTGTTGCAATGGCCACACACAACTCACAGGACAGTACTCACGATTATGGGTTTTATTAGGGAAGTAACAGGTTACAATTCAGGTTCAGGAATGCTTAGGATACAGTTCTTCAAACAGGACAGCCTCTTCTCAACCTTGCCTGAAGGCACACCTCTCTCTGGCCCCTTGGCCTCTGCCCAGCTCCGGCAAGTGTTACAAAGCTGTTTTAGCTCTGCCAATAAGTGCCCAGAGGAACCCCACTCAGCCAGCAAGCCTCAGCCCGAAGGCACTCAGCTCTTTTCGCTCGGTGGGTTAAGGAGCCTAGCTCCGTTGCCAAGTGCCCTGAAGCACCTCACTCCACCAGCAAGGCTCCTGCCTAAAGGTGCTCAGTTTTCTCTTTCCATGAGCTAGGAACCCCACTGCACTGTCTCCTGCCTGTCTCCTGGTTCTGTTGTCTCTACTTCTCACCATTTCTTGCCATCTCTGGTGTTACAGTTCTGTCTCTGTCTCTCATGGATCTAGGAGGTTCTCAGCACAGGAATCCCAGGTCCAAAAGACATGCTGCACTCCTGGTTCTTCTTCCTTGGTGGTGGTGAAATCCTCCTTTCCTGCCTCTGGGATGGCTCATTTTAAGCCTAGTGGGATGGCAAAACTGCCAATCCCCTTGTTAGGGTTCCATACACCTTATTTGCATGGTCCCCCCCCCCAAGGGTGCCATGCACCTTATTTACATTATTAGCAAGCTACCCAATCCCCGGTGTGCCATAAGTACCTCATTTGCATAGCCACACCCAGTCTTTTGGTGGGAGTTACAAAGACTATGGCTAGAAGTAATTCACTGCTCCACAGAGTGCATCTCAAGAAACTGAACAATTGGAGTAGTTCCTGCTCACTAGTAGGATGTGCAAGAACCTTACTAAATCAATTTTAAGACATCCAAACTACCTCCCCCAGGCAAATTAATCTCAAAATGAAAAACAACATGTAGTCCACTTTGGCCTGAATTGAAGAAACTAAGCATTTGATGTTTGCCTTTTTCCTGGAGCATATACATGAAGGGATTATCCCAAACACAGTTTCTACCAGAAAGTTTATTTCAAGAAAAAAAACAGAATGCAACATATTTTCATGTACCTGTGACATAAGCAGTTGTACATTCTGTTCTGGTGCCAGTCTATATTTCCTCTTTTTCTTTTCACATGTTGATCTTCCTACCTGCCAGTTACAGCGGTTTTTGAAGTTACATATTTGCCTAGCAATAACTCATTAAAGTTGGCTATGCTTTTTTTTTTTTTTTTGGTCTTATGCTTTCTTGACAGCCATTATGCAAACTTGAAAATTTTTTAAAAATGGGAAAATTTAACCAAAAAATCCATTCAAATGAAAGAAAATTTTTAACATGTAAAATTTAATAATTAAATTGGTCTTGTAGGTATTTAAACACAAATCTCTATTTTGCAATTTTCTTTTCATTTTTTAGAGTCATAAACTTTGCTCCTGGATCTCCTGTGGGCTTAAGCTTACACAATTTGGTTTCTTTGTCCGTGAAAGGTTCAAACTATATTGCACTATGAAGTTGGCCTGTGTTGAAATCCTATGCCAGCCAATTACTATGACCTTAGGCAAGATGTCTAAACATTTTTTGGCCTCAGTTTCCCCATCTCTAAAAATGGGTCTCATAATAGTAACTATCCTGTAGGATTGTTGTGGGAATTGAGTGAGATAATACATAAAATGTGCCTAGAAGAGGGCCTGGCACATAATAAGCACAGTTTTAGTTCTTGATGCTAAAATATTCACATGCTTTATCTCCCTTAATCCTCAGTCACTATAAGTCAGAATTGACTTGAAGGAAACAGGTTTGGTTTTGAATTTTTGATAAGGATATGTATAATTGTTATTCAATGAGGAAAATAAAGCCAGAGAGGTTAAGTAACCAGGCAAAGGTCACAGCCAGAGAGTGGAAGAGCTGCAATTCAAATCAAGATCATCTGACTCCCTTTTTTCTCCCTCTCCTCTGACCCTCACCTTGCTTAATTTGTTTACTTAGCACTTCCTAAGGCTTGCACCCTGGCTTGTTTAGTTATTTGTTTTATCTGTTTGCCAACCCCCACAAGGATCTAAGACCCAGGTGGTCAGGGGTTTTTGTGCGTTTTGTTCACTAACCCTAGCTCCTAGAACAGTGTCTGGAACATAACTGATTGCTGTCTAGTCGATTCCAACTTATAGCTACCCTACAGGACAGAGAACTGCTCCATAGGGTTTCCAAGGCTGTAAAGTGGTTAAGAGCTCAGGCTGCTAACCGAAAAGTCGGCAGTTCGAATTCACCAGTCGCTCCTTGGAAACCCTCTGGGGCAGTTCTATTGTCCCATAGGGTCGCTATGAATCGGAATCCATCCCACGGCACACATCACCACCACCACCATTTACAGAAGCAGACTGCCACATCTTTCTTCCGCTGAGCTGCTGGTGGGTTCTGTCAACCTTTTGGTTAGGGGCCGAGCGCTTATCCACTGTGCCACCAGTTCTCCTTGTCTGGGACTTATATACCCGTTGCCGTTGAGTCAATTCCAACTCATAGCCATCCTACAGGACAGAGTAGAACTGCCCCATAGGGTTTTCAAGGCTGTAAATCTTTAGGGAAGCTGACTACCACATCTTTCTCCCGCTGAGCAGCTGGTGGGTTCCAACAGCCAACTTTTCAGTTAGTAGCCGCACGCCTTTAACCACTGCTCTGTCTAGGACATAAACCAAACTGCCCCACAGGGTTTCCAAAGGAGCGGCTGGTGGATTCGAACTGCTGACCTCTTGGTTAGCAGCGCAGCTCTTAACTACTGCGCCACCAGGTGCTTAACCGGGTTTTGACTTTGGACACTTCTCTCAACTTCTCTAAGCAATAGCTCCCTCTCCTCCGTAAAGCGTGGATAATAACAAAGAGTGCTACAGAGTTGATGTAAAATCAGATTGGATGAGGGACATGAACGCCCTGGATAAATGTGAATACACTGCAGGAAAAAGAGCTTTTGTTCAGAGTTCCCCAGATCAAAGCTCATTGACGGCCGTACTGCGCGTGCTCCGCTTCTCTACGCTGTCTTTGGCTCTCCCGCTTCCCACTAGGGGAGGGGGCCGGAAGTGCAGCGACTTCCTCCAGGCGCCTTGGGGCGAGGGGACGCGCGGAGATGACGCAAGTAGCGCCGGAAGCCGCTCCCCTGTGAGGTTGCGGACCTGGAGCAGTGGCCGCACGTTCAGGTATGCATTTAAAGGCAGGGCCGGGGGCGGAGAAGGGGCTGTTCGGTGCGAGGATCTCAGCTGACTCCCGTACCTCTACTGTTCGTCTTTCTCACCCTGCAGGCGCCATGGCTGCGGAGCTGACCCGGCCGCTTCGAGGCTCTGGCGGCCCGATCGCGCCCAGTCGGTGTGTGCCCGGCGCGAGGTCCCGGGCCGCGGGGCACTCGCTCAGGTCAGTGCCGCGCGGAACATGGCTCAGGGAACAGGGGACCTAGAGACGACCAGCGGGTTGAAGGGCTCTGGAGTTCATTTTAGAGATGGGAGAATTGAGTATCGGAGTTACTGCGTCCTACTGCCTCAGTTTCCTTATCTGAGAAATGAGTTGACAGTAATGCCCCAGGGCTGCCTTGAGTTTGAAAGATGAAGTGTGGAGAGGTGATTTATGAAGTAGAAAGCGCTGTACTAATGTGAGGGACTGCGCCATAATTATAGGTATACCATGGAAACAGGTGTGTATGTATGTAGGGTGCTGCTTGAAGTAAAGCAAAAATAACAATATTAATGCTAAATAATAATTGTAGCTGGCATTTATTGTAGGCTTACAGTGTGCCAGGTACTGTGCTAAACACTTCACACGCATTATCCTATTTAATCCTCACAAAAACCCTTGTCGGTCATGCTGTTTTACAAGTGAGAACAGTGGGCATGAGATAGGTGATTTGCTCAAGAGCACCCAGCAACAAGTGGAGCTGCAAAGTCATATTTTGCAGACATTATTTGTATTCTTTCAAAACATTTTTATTCATCTTAAAGCTAAAAGTGATTTTTTAATAGTATATACACATAATTTGAAATTTAAAAAAGAGACACAGTAAGAAGGACCCCGTCACCCTCCTGTTCCTCGGCTCTCCAGTTCTCTCTGGAGGCAACTACTGTTACTAGTTTCTTAAATATTTAAAAGCTATTTTAAGTTCATAGGTTATATATGCATTTTCAAAGTTTCTGTTCTTAATTACTGATTATGCTTGATAAGAAAAGAGAGAGAAGATTGAGCCCACCTCCCCCCGCCAAAGAAAAAAAAAGTCTGCTTTCATTCTTGACAAAGCCAGGTCCTGATGGAGGAGGGGAAAACACTTCAAACTGTTTTATTCAGAATATCATGTATCTAATAATACTTAGAGATACAGGTTTTTTGTTTTTGTTTTTTTCTGAGGGGGGACAGGGAATGAGGTATTGAGCTTGCCACCTCCTGTAGGACTCTGGGAAAGTCATTCCACTTCTTGAGCCTTAGATTTTCTCATTTATCAGTTAAGAGAAATGATAATACCTTTCATAGGATTGTGAAGATCTAGTGAGGCAACCTTTATCTGTAGTATTTTAGGCTTTAGGGAGTCCTAGGGTGGTGCAAATGGCTAAGCACTCCACTACTAAATGAAAGGTTGGGGATCCAGATCCACCCAGAGACTTGGCGATCTACTTCCAAAAGGTCACAGCCATTGAAAACCCTATGGAGCGCACTGCTACTCTGCATACATGGGGTTGCCATCAGTCGGAATCAACTCCATGGCAACTGGTATGGTTGGACTTTTTTTAGGCTTTAAAGCGAATACAAATCTGAGAGTTGCCTAAGGACACATGGAGAGTTAATGGCAGAACCAGAGGCAAAATCCAGGTCTTACAAGTCCCAGTTTAGGAGTCTTTCCATTCCACCACATATTCCCTCAAAGCTTTGTGATTCTTAATATTGAGGGCAAGAAGGCAAGTTTAGTGTTTAGTCTGAGGTTGGGGGAAAAAACAGGCAAGACAGTAGGAGGTCTGGGTAGGGTGAAGAGATAAATGCACTGAGTGGGAAATTATAGCCTCAAGTCAATAACTACACTTAATCATAAAATTAAACTCCCCATAAGTTTGAGCCCTTGAATTTTTTTCCGGGTAAGTTCTACTTGCTGGTATTTTTAAGCAGCTTTAAGAGAAACTTCATTATAAAATCATAGGGTTGAAAAGGATGTTAGTGGTCATCTCGTCTACTCCATCAGCCTAAGCTTCAGTGCCTTAAAAAGCTTTCCTGCCAGGTATTCATAATAATAAGACTAACAGAAACTACTAAGGTACTCTAGACTGGGTACTGTGCTAAGCATGTCTCTGTTTTATTTCTGATTCTCACAGTCCTTAAGATGGGCGATAGCTTCCATTTTACCAGTGACAAAACTGAAGCTTAGAAGTTAGTTGAACGTGCCCATGATCACATTGGAAGTGACTGAATCAATGTTAAGATTTGACTGATTCCATAGCATTTTCATTTACTCCATTCCACCTCTGTATCCAGCTGTTCTTGGCTGTCCCCAGTTATGGGAAGCTCACCACTTTGGAGGCAGCTATTCATTCCATTGTTGGAAAGCTCTGATGATTTGAAAGCTCCTCCTCATGCTGAATTGAAGTCTCTCACTTCCTGTGGTTTTACCCTTGGGACTTGTGCCGCCAGTACAAAACATTCATAGAGACTTTCTGCAAGAGTTTAGTTTAGACTGTGACCTTAATAAAGTCACAGTAGCCTCATTTGTTGTCCTCTCCAAAGTCAGTTAATTCTTTCAGAAAAGTGAAAACTTTTTAAAATAGTATATTCTGTGGAATTAATGGACTTTATTTAAATAAGATGCCTTTTTTCACAGCAGTCAGAGATGAAGAACTGGAAAACAACTTCCCCTTATGGGGTTGAGCAGCTTAGAGGACAATCTCTAATGTTAGAGTTGGAAAAGAAATTCTTACTAGGAGTTAGGAGAATATGTAAATCTTGGAAATGCTTGGGTTTTTGGAAAGGTGCTCATTGGAAAGCTTGCCCCATAATCTTCAGTGGTATGGGCACATTAATTTGGCTTGTTATAGGATGTCTCTTAGTTATTTCGTAAATGATAGAAAGCAAGATAACCCTGATAATGTTTTAATGGTAATTATAAATTTGCCTTGTGGCCAATGAAATCGCAATCCAGTTCACATAAATGCAAGCATTTCTACTACACATGTGTGGTTAGCACTTCTCAGTGTAATAGAGCAAGTCCCCTACACTTTTCCCTTTAAAAAATGATTCCAGGTCAGATATTTTGGTGTGTGTTTTTAATTGACCAGTGGTACTAGCAGCTGTTAGAATTCTTAACTGTTTGCAAAATCAAGCATTTGAGATTTGTCTGGACTCCATTCCCCATAGAATACTGAAAGTAAAATAGCTAGGAGAAGAATTCTGTTAGGAGTTAGCTGGTCCTTTCACTGGGATGGTTATAGCAGCTTCGCTCACACTCTCCCTCATCCCTGCACTGAATTAATTAGCTGTTGTAGCATTGTGTGTATGTCCATAGAAGAGTTTTTGTCTTGCTGTCAATGATTATTTTTTAAAGGCAGAGATTTTCAATCGAGAGATGTTTGTTAGGATTCAGAGGAAGGAGGGGGCATGTTATTTTATGATAAGCTGATAGAACTTTGGTGAACTGATTTTTTTTTTTGGCAGCCTAGTAAATCCTGAAAATAAACTGATAAATTCTATCTAGCCCAAACCCTGAGGCTTCAAGGGTATTAACTTGAAGTCTAGTCACTGTCCAGAAACCAAAACTGTGAGACAGTAGAGCAGATGGTGTGATTGGAAAAGGTTTCTTCTAATAAAGTAGACTGATTTTTGTCTTATAACATTCTTGCCAAATTTGATATTGGAAAGTTAATGAAAATAATTCTTACCCGCCTTACGTTAACGAAGTTTGAAGGTATTAGAAATCTGTCTTTTTGTATAGACCTGATCTAGATGATATGTGTGGAAAGGAATTTATTTTCCTCTTCCACATTAATTAAGACTTAAGTTTTTGTAATTAGTGTGGCAGTCTGAGATTAGGAGAAAATTTATTTTTCTTTTTTTAAATCATGGAACTTCTTTAACCTATCAAAATAGAATAATAAACCCCCATTTACATGTCACCCAGCATTAACATCAACACATGGCTGATCTTGGGAAAGGTAGTTTTTACTGATTCGCTTTATTTTTGTTTTCTCTTTTCTATTAGTTTATTTCCCATTGCTAAGAATGGGTTGACACCTTGACTCAGTGTATAATACTGGGTACTTTTAGACTTTTTTGTCCCAGTTAGCCCTGGAGTAATGTGTCATTCTCCTATAGGGGAGAGTGATATAATTAGATAGGCACAGTGCCCCAGGTCTTATCGCCAACTTGTGGTTCTCCTAGTTGTATCTGACTTGAGAGGGAGACAGCAAGATGTGTTTGGAAAAGTACTGATCTTGCGAGCACTGAGGACCCTTATAGCTCTCTGGGGCGCATGGTTAACAGTTTGTCACTAGCTTATATGAGGCTTATAAAAACAGACTATGGTAGACCAAATAAGGCCCTTATTAATTCGTAATTCATGTTCTAACCAGGGGTTCAACCAGTTCTTTCCAGTTGGACCCCCTGTGAATTTGCTTTTCTACCCCCGATATACTGAATCAGAATCTACATTTTAACAAGATCAGGTGAATCAGGGGATCTTGTTAAAATGTGGATTCTAATTCATATATCTGGGGTGGAAGGGCAAGTTCTCAGCAGGGGGTCAAACCTAAAGAACTGGTTTGAAGCCCTGGTTCTAATAGGCAGTCCTATAAAGAGTTGGAAGAACCAGAATACCTGAGGCACATAGTTTATTACAGCTGCTTATTTTTCCTCCTCAGACCTTTTTGCCTGAACATTTATTGCAAAAGCAAGTGTCAGTTTTTTGATTTTGATGACAAATCAGGTTGTGTCTAGCATGATAACTGATGTCTTCGGTTACAGAGACTTGATTTCTGGTTGTCATATCCTAATGCTCGTTTTTTGTGACTTTAGTGGCCAAATGGAGTGTATTAAGGAGTTCATTAAGGAAATTGTTTTAAAATGGTATTGTGGGGGGTGTATTGTAGAATACACTGTTTTATAATGAATGAATACTTTTGTAAATCTTTCCTGCATGTAGCATGTGCTAGACTTCAAAAGGAACAAGTCACACATACCAACATAAGTTTCAGTGACTTAACTCTTCAGAGATCATGATTTGTTAAAGTATGTTTTCTCAAATGTATTTTCTTTTGTGTGCGTGGAAAATTTTCAGATAAATAATATTGTGTTAACTTTAAAATTGTAATGTAGTAACTAAGCATAAAGTTGTAATACCAAGTTTTTTATACTAACTTTAATACTTCATTTGTTAGCAGTCTTGCTTGAACGGTCTTTTTGAGCAGAACTAATACAATATTTTGATGTGCCACAGGTAAATTTTTCCATAACCTTATGGAGAGAAAGGACTTTGAGACATGGCTTGATAACATTTCTGTTACATTTCTTTCTCTGACGGACTTGCAGAAAAATGAAACTCTGGATCACCTGATTAGTCTGAGTGGGGCAGTCCAGCTTAGGCATCTCTCCAATAACCTGGAGACTCTTCTCAAGCGGGACTTCCTCAAACTCCTTCCCCTGGAGCTCAGTTTTTATTTGTTAAAATGGCTCGATCCTCAGACTTTACTCACATGCTGCCTCGTCTCTAAACAGTGGAATAAGGTGATAAGTGCCTGTACAGAGGTGTGGCAGACCGCGTGTAAAAATTTGGGCTGGCAGATAGATGATTCTGTTCAGGACACTTTGCACTGGAAGAAGGTTTATTTGAAGGCTATTTTAAGAATGAAGCAACTCGAGGACCATAAAGCCTTTGAGACCTCATCATTGATTGGACACAGTGCCAGAGTGTATGCACTTTACTACAAAGATGGACTTCTCTGTACAGGTAAGAGATGCTGGAACTGTTTTTTTATTTTTGCATTATGTAGGATGTAATCTTAAAAAAAAAAGGTAGACTACTCCTCAGACTTGAGAATGACAGGTGTTGATTATATGAGACACCTATAATGGCACTCTCCCTCCCCCCACCCCCAGATCCTCTTCTTTCCCTCTAGAGAAGTAGAGAAGGCAATAATTTTTTTTTTTTTAATTGTGCTTTAAGTGCAAGTTTACAGTTCAAGTCAGTTTCTCATACAAAAGTTTATACACGAATTGCTATGTGACCCTAGCTGCTCTCCCTATACTGTGACAGCACACTCCTCCTCTCCACCCCAGATTTCCTATGTCCATTCAACCAGCTCCTGTCCCTTTTTGGAGAAGGCAGTAATTTTGTATAAAATTTTACAAGAAGAAATTCAGGCATTTTTTAAAAGCAAGACGTGAATCAGAAAGCTAAAGTTTTTTTTTTTTTTCCTATACGTCCTCCATGTTGGTTAGTTTTATTTCTTTTTTTTAATCAGCAATGATTTGTTGGAAAAAACACTGAAAAATTTGGTGTCTAGTTCCAGCAAGTAGTTAGATCATTTTGGATAAGTTATTTAACCTGTGTTTGTTCCTTGTCTGTAAAATATGGAAAGGGAGGTATTTCATTCTTGCTCTCAAACTCTGTGATTCTAAGAATTACCAGAGTTTGAACCTGAGAATGAAGGGAGTTGACTCCAGGCAGTTCTGATCAGTGATCCCAGTGCCTAGTCACTTAGATTGTATGTAATATACTTGGTATTCTTTCTTCATCCAAGATTATTTCTAATAAACATTTTTGTATTACCTAAACTACATTGCTGTCATTTTTAATAAATATAAACTATTCATCTGTGTAAATATATTATTTATTATGTGAAATATATCATTTTCATGTTAGTACATATTTTATTAATATTTTTGTTCACATTAGTTTTTTCCTTAAATTATTTATTTGGGCAGAAGCCTCAAAGTAGACTCACAGGATCAAGAAGTCTGATTTTATAGCTCATATTACTTCTTTCCAGACTGATTGAATTGATGCCTTGCTCACAGTAGAGTCTTAAATAACCTGCTTCTTCTTCAGAGTTCATGAGCATTCAATTTTAATATTGTAAGTGGTTAAGAGATGCATGATTTCTCAAGATTGTTTCTAAATTGCATTTCTTCATTCATCAGGGATGTCAGTTGTCCCATGTGGTGATACATCGTTTGAAATACTGGACAAATTGCCAGTTTTATAAAATAAGCACTTTGATGATTTTATTTGTTTATCGTCTTGAAGTTACTTCACACTTGCAACCACCTGTCTTATAAACCTTATTATTGAAACAACATCATCTGTTCTTCTATACTTTGATGTTCTTTCCCAGTTGTGATGATAGCTTTTCCCTGTCCTTTTTGCCTTGTGACCCATGGCAGGTATTTTGTAAAGATTAAAGTGCAGTGTGGCCTTGGAGCTTGGAGCTCATTGGCACTTAGATAAATACTGGCATTTGGCTCATTGTACTTAGAACCATCTCTAGCTTTTTTTCATTTCTGGTGAAACTTTACTTTTGAAATGCAATAAGCCCTCAATCACTTGGAGCAGATGTAAATGGGAAACATTCACTGAATTCTCAAACTGCCTGGAAAATTAATATCTACAGTAGGTGTGGACCCAACCCTGCATTTTAAGATTATTTTCTAGGTGGGTCTATATGTTGTTATCTCTATTCTGATTAAGTTCATGAGGTTTGCATATTGAAAATTATGCTGCTATTGAAAGTGATCCAAAACGTTAGTTTAATTTTTCTAATAGCAGCCATCCCTGGGGTTGTTACTAGTGAGAAAAGTGTTAGTTATAGAATTATACATGTGTCTGTCATCTTGTTACTTAAGAGGTTGTATTGGGAAATCCTGAATTTGGCAGTAAGTGGACAGTGACTCTCAGATTAGTCCCTTGAGCGTGCAGTAACACAGTATTACCAAAGAGGTAGTTGGTGAATGCTAAAAAATTGATATGGTATAGATTGAATAAGGTTGTTATCACTCTGTTCTACAATATTTTTCTGAAATGATAATAAACCTATTGTGCTTTGTGCCGTTAGGCTCTGCTCTTTTGTTAATTCATTCAGTAGATATTTATTTATGAAATGCCTACTATGTGAAAGACATTGTAAGAGCATATACAGATGAATTAGAACAGTTCTTTGCTCAGAGAGTATATACACAGAGATCAGGAAGGTAACCTGACTTAAATAAAAGTCTCCATGTGAACGAACTGTGGCAAATCAGAGAACGCTTGCCTTTCTAAAGAGGATTACCTGCTGCTCCACTGTAGTGGCATAGTGCCATGTGGGGATTCAGGCTCAGAGTTGCCAGATCTGACTTCTTGAGAAAAGCCCCAAACCCAGAGTTTTGTGAAATAGCCTGATTTTTAAGTATTAATTTTCTAAGTATTTACTCACATTTTTTAAATATGTGGTTAGGCCAGTTACAACACATTTGTAGGTCGTATTCAACTTCTTGAGCTGACATATTGTGACCTATGGCTTATAGTCTAATAAGAAAAATAGCTATAAAAGTATGATAAAATGAATAGTTGAATTGTATGAGAAGAAAATTATAGTTGTTCAGAGCAAGGAATGATTTCTTCCATTTGGGAAAATTGAGCAGTATTTTTGTTGGGTCTCGAAGAATGGGTAGATTTTAGAGATGAGACTCAGGGTAAGGGCTATTCTGTAGGAAGATTAGCATTAGTAAAGGTATGGAAGTGGCTAAGCCTGGGGCGTGTAAGAGAATTCATTTTTGCTGGGCTCTTAGGATTAAAGTAGGGTGGTTGTTGTGTGC